TAGCCGAGTCATTTTCTTTTCTTCATCCCAGTTGATGAGGGCCGTATACGTTTTTCGGCCGCGTTAATGTCTCATTGGTGGCCTGGGGGTCATTCGTCTGACTACTTTCATCGTTGCCGCAAAGGATGTCGGTCTACCGCTGGGCGTAGTTGCGCGCTGTTTGCCGCATTAAGGATTTTCCTCTCAATTTTATCCTTCTGGTTAATTACTTGGAAACCTGGCTTCCGCGACAGGGTGTTTTGAAGACCGGTTATACCAGTCCGTGGATTCAGTTGGACCAATCAAAAGCGACAAGGCAATGACCCCGTGGCGCAGTGGGTAGTGCGTTGAACTTCTAACCAAAAACGTCGCGGGTTCTGGAATCTAACGTGCAGATATTTAAAAAAATACCATGCGGCCGTTAACAACTTGTTACTAGGCCACTACAGCTCATGATAGTGTTCTGCTTAACGGCATTTGAATTTTATAAAAGATGATTTCTTTTGAAGGAATCAGCTAGTTCGCACGGAGAGACTTACTGCTTTGTTAAATGACACTAATATCGTATCCATGGCTGTTTTGTAACGCAAATTCTCTAATCTTTGAGAAAATGACCTTTGGTTCCACTTAGCTTCGACCTAACAACTTTTCGAACTACTTCTTTTATTGCATCTTAATAGTCTAAGAATGTGTTTGCGTGTACACGATGAGCAAAGTAGTCACTGAATCAGACTTGCGTCAACCGCATGCTGCTCTTTTCCGTGTTCAGATGGTAAATACGAGCATGTCTACCGACTGCGTTTGACAATGGGTGCAGTGACTGACGTCTGGGCGTACGCAACCTTCACAGAAACCATCTGACACCTGCAATGAGCAAGCATGTTCTCAATGTTAGATGTAATACCACAATTGCGCAACCTTTTTGGAGGCTATTAGTGTTAACGGAGACATCGCCCGCTTCTTTTGTATATATTTCATATGTGCCTTATGGAACCAACGTTTTATTACGCTGCCACATTGTATATTTGTAATTTCTCGTTCGGTTTGGAACTGTCGTTGCTGGGTTGCAACTGAGTGTACCTAATTGCCTTGCTTATTGATTCAAGGCAATTGTCGGCCCTAGTCGTTACCTGATTAGACTTTCTCAAAAAACCCTTCCTTACTCTTTGTTCGCAAACTTGCATATCCAACCTCCACAGTCGTTTTTTTACGCGCCTACCTTCAGGTAAACTTCCCTTGTCATTCATGATGTTTGCTATGTTTTCGGTTGTTGTATTTTCTTGCAAGTAGAATCTGTTTATTTGCGCTGTCTGCGTCGAAGTGAGCTTTCCAACTACAAGTCAGGTTTCTACGCTAGGTAGCATAGAACTTGCTCAAAAATTGATCTATATATGGTAGTATGCTGATGTTTCGTTGAAAAGCATTCTTTCGCTATTTCTCTTCATCGCATTCGGTTAAGTCACTCTTTGGGCTGTGCTATTTTGTTCTAATGCTTTAAGCTGCATATGCGATAGGGGACATACCTCTTGGAAGATTAAAATTTTGAAGTATAGCATCCGGTGGGAAGTCGTATGTACGTGGGTTTATTTTTAGTATTGGTTAGCGTGCGGCTTAGACATTTCAGTCACACTGGGACGCCAGCATCTAACTGCGCTTCTGTCCGGGCGCCTGCCTTCGCTAAAATTAGCTGCTTAGATTGTTTTCCCGGAAGACATTTCAACAAGGCAAAGATCACGAGCCTAACAGAATTTACTGACGTCATAAAATTTCGCGACCACTTATTCAACAGCAAACCTTCGAGGCCACCCTTCTAGGTCAACACTTTATTGGACAATTAATTTATCTTATTTATAGGCAATGACCGTTTGCAGTTTAATAGGAGGTCGCGAAATGATATGACGTCAATAAATGCTGCTAGTCTCGTGATCCTGGCCTTGCTTGGATTTTGCTAATTTTTCCAGTTACCACAAAGAAAACATATGCGAATGTGTCCAACCGTGTTCTTACCTTTTGTCTTCTTCAAGTTTTCTGCTTTAAGCAGGGG